AGCACATCCGAGCCCAGCTCCTGCAGGCAGGAGATTAAAAGCAAGCAAATCCCAATTTGTTGTTAAAGGAGGAGAGGGAATTAGACCTGGTTCTGGGATCAAAGGGGGTCTGAAGCCCAAGCCCCACAGTATGGAAGGCAGCAGCAGCTGAACGCCCCTGAAGCCAGGGATTTTAGGGACTGTGAACAAGAGGAAGGATGAGACAGGGACAGGTTGGTGGTCCCTCAGGGTGCCTTGTGCCTGCCCCAGCCTCTGTCCTCCCATCAGAGACGTTGTGCCCATAGGGATGGCTTCACCTCTGGCTCCCATAGCATGGCCGGACTTGTGGCCAAGTAGGCAAGCTCCCCCCTAAACCCACAGCTCCCGGAGGCAGGGGATGTGGGCCCCATCACCTCCCCATCGCAAACACAAAATGCCACATCCAGAGGGGCAGGAGGGAGGGAATGTGCCACGAGCGCCTGGCGGCACCGGGATGAGCCTTGTGACTCTCGCCCAAGGCAGCCAAGCTGTCCCAGGGGTGACTTCCCGGCAGAGCTTTCAAAACAAGGCAGCACCCCATGGGTTTGGCTTGGTCCAGGCAGATTTGGCCATTTCTCTGCAGGCACAAAGGGCACCGACTCTCTTGGTCAGCCGGGCCCCTCGACGCTGGAGGGTTGAGACAGGCGTAAGGTGTAATCTTCCCTTCCTTCTCCTCCAACTTTGCACCATAGGGACCCTTGTACACCCCCAAGCAACCCTTCTCCCCAGCACCCAGTCCCCTTGGGTATAAATGGGGGGCAGGCACTCAGCAACCCACATGCCTCGGCCTCATCCTACTCTGGAAGCAAGCAAAGAGGCCGCCAGCAACGTCTTTTCCTGGGGGTTAATCATTGATTGTGGCCAGTAATAAATATTTCAGCAGGGATTTGTGTGCAAGCTCTGAGATAACAGTAATGGGAGGAAGGATGGGTCCTGTGTGCCTGGCTTCACTGCCGCCTCTCCTGCACAGAGCTACACAAGTCCTTCTGCTTCTTGGAGGGAGAGTATTTGTTCTTGTGTGTTGGAAGCTCTTCAGGATGTGGCAAACCTCAGGAAAACCCTTCCCAAGCGCTGCGGTCTCAGGATGCTCCACACTGGAGATGTCCTCCCAGGAGGAAGAGTTCAGCCCTGCAGTGCCTTAAGAAACATGTGGCAAATGCAGTGCTCACCCTATTGCACTGGGCAAGAATTACTGAAGGCAGTTCACCATGGACCCATCTGCAGAGCTTTCTTACTTGTGCAGCCACCTCTTACCTTGCAGAGAGAAAGCAGAAATGGGTGGAAACATCGGGGACGGGGGGTGTCTCCAGTCATCCCTGCAGTGACTCGGGGGACACCAGGTCCCACAGTGCCATGAACATTGATCCTGGCCATGCTGAGCTCAGCCAGCTCCTGTGCTGGAAGAGACAGACAAGACTGAATAAGCTCAGGCCTGGGCCAGACCTTGCCACCATCCTCTTGCCCAACCTAGTGCAGCTCCTGCCCCTGAGACACCAGGAACATCCAGGAGGCAGCAGAGAGAGGAGTTCCTCTGTATAGAGGAGACAAATACGTGCTCCTCTGCCTGCATCAACCCAAGGATGCTGGAAATGAGAAAACTCAGGTTCAGAGCATGCTGAGTCCTGCCTGTGGCTTGTGCAGCAGGAGGACCCCCAACAAATGGTCCCCATGATGCAGCCCCGACCAGAGAAGTGCAGGGGGATGCTCCAAGCACCGGATGAAACATCCCCGGACAGCAAAATCACAGCAATGCTGGGTAAAGGCACCTAAGAGGGACCCAGCGCAGCCCAAGCATCAGAACAGACACTGATCATGGTGAAACGTGCTCTTGAACAAGTCGCCCCAACTCTGAGCCACATCAGTGGCATCACTGCTGTTTCCCCATCAGTGCAATGAGGGTAACAATAGAGCTACCGGATTAAGGAGGGCTCTGGAGGTGACAAACACACCCTGCTCTTCATTAGCCCACAGCAGTTACCCAACAACCTGGGCTGAGATTGTTTCCAGAGCTGCCTCAGAGGATCCAGTTTCCCCTTTCCCAGGGCCAGCAGCAGGACTTAGGCACCCGAACCCTAAACGCAGCTTTGCAGGGCTCAGTGGCAGAGCAGGATGAGGTGCCCCCCTCCCCAGGGCCACCCTCTGGTCCCCCCCACATCCCTCCCGACAAGGGCAGTCGCTCAGTGCCTGCAGCTTCGCAGAGCCCTGCTGAACTGAAGCAGCAGGGAATGATTTCAAGCACCTTCTTTTCCTGGGGAGCTGGCAGAGGTGCAGCTTTTCCCAGGCACTGGGCACCCGTTTCCCCATCAGCTCTCCTCCCAGGCCTGAAACACGAAAGAGAAATAGGGATACCCGCTAATTCACACGTGCACCCCCCATCCAGCATCACCGCGTCCTGCAAACTCAGGGCTCCTGAAAGCACCAGCATTAAGCCTGTAATTATCAGGTGATTTAGGAATTTGCCCCCGGAATAGGGCTACGGGAAAACACTGCTCTGGTGAGTGTTAAATCTGCTCAGTGGGGGAGAAGGAAGGAGCTGTTTAATCAAGTTAAAAGGACAGTTTCGGGGTGGGTCTGGGGCTGTTTGGCCACATGGGACTTCATCAATGGGGCCAGCGGGAAACAAAGCCGGGAGGGGAAACAAAGGCTCCATCTCTGTCCTCCCTCCTGCCATGGCCGGCCCCACAGGCACCTCCACCAGGGACAACCCCTGCATCGGGCTCAGTAACCATGGAAAGGGGGGAACAAATCACTTCTTGTTTCCCTGCTTCCAGACGATGTCACTTGCGGATCTCACCCTGAGCACGCACCGGGCACAGGCTTTAACTCAGGAAAACTGCAAAAACAAAAGTGAAAATGATCTTCCCGGCCTGAAGCCCTGGGACCAGCACTGGGATCTGCTGGAATTCCAGCGCCCTGCTCTGCTCCGCTCCCCACCTTGCTGCACGGGCATCGCATAGGGATTCCTTCCTGTTTAACACAGGGGATGCTGCCCTGAGCCCCCTTTCCTGCGGGTGCAGACCTCACTGCCGCGCATTACCAGGCTATTTCCAAAACCCCCTGGGTCCTCCTGGCCTGGCAAACACACCCTGAGCACCAAATCCATCCCATTTCCCCAAATCCCTGTTTATTTCCCCCATTTCCCCTCCTCGCACACAGTTGTGTGCTGGTTTCCCATCGGCACGCTGCTCACAGCTGCTGGAAGCATCTCAGTGCCACTCTTTAGTTTCAGGGGGCCACTGCAGCACTGTTTTGCTTTAAAGACCAAGTGGTCACTCCACAGGTGAACCCAGCCTGGGGGGGTTTCTGGCATGGCCTCACCGAGCAGGGAATTGCCCAAAGTTCCAGGGATTCAAGCAAGAAGGAGCAGCCCAGGTTGTTTGCAGCTCTCTGGTTACAGCCATTCACTGCTGCTGCAGAATAAATAACGAGGGATATTAATAACAACGAGCCTCTGCCCGGGACAGAAACCAAATTCCTCGCCAGGCCCACAGCAAAGGGGAGAAGCCCAAGTGTGGCCATGGGCAGGGCTGGGGTTGCTGCAGACATAGGGTACCCTGGCACTTCCAGGTGCAGGGGAACACCGATTTGGGTCAAAGAGATGATCAGGGTCTGCACACACACCCCTGTCTGGGTGCAAGGCACTCAGGTGAAGGAGATCCATCACCATTCCCGAGCTGGGGACCTGGAGCCAGGCTCAGCGCCGGTGCAAGAGGGGCAATGCCAGCTCTTTGTGCAGGCGTTTTTAAGCAGGTCAGGCTCTCACAGGGTGGTTTTTCCCCCTTCTTTGCTTTCATTTTTTAATCATCCCGAAGGGACAGTGCTTTGATTGTTCTTTGGGCAGGGGAATTTGCAGGGGATTTGAAAAATCCAAGTGAAAATTACTAAAACCAGTGCCATGAGCCTGGCTCTGTTGATCTGCTCCTTTTCGCACAGCAGACCTTCCCGGCTGAAGCAGTTTTGCACATGCAGGCATTGATGCTCCCAAGTTTCACAGTTTTAAAGGTGATTTTCTTTTCATTAATAAAAACTTGCCTGAAACCCAGATCCAGCTTCAGGCAGTTTAAAGTTCAGTTCCTAACTCCAGATTTCACGTCAGGATAGTCGAAAGCACCTAAATTGGAGTTTCCATTCAATCTTGGGATTGGAGTTTCTGCAGGAGTTTGGGGAAAAGTCTCAGCGCTGAGAGGAGATCTGGATTTCCTTGTATCCACCAAGAAACTCCCCATGAGATCCCCAGTGCATGCTTTGGAAAACCTTGCCCCTGACACAATGGGGTTTCAGGGTACTTACCTGGAGAGCTGATCCCAGCTCCTGCTCCAGACCGACCTAAACCCCTTCCAAACCAAATCACAGGAATGCAGAATAAAGCTCTATCACTGCACACCAACCCCGCCGTCTGCTTAAACCCCAGGGAGAGCGCCCTGGGCTGCTCACCAGCTCCCAAACCTCCCCCGGTGCTCAGCGGGCAGCACTTCCACACCAGCCTCCCATGGTGCTGGAGTACAAAAATACACCAAATATCCCAACACCACCCAGCCGGGCCTGGGAGGCCACAGGGATGGAGCCCCCACCGCCAGTGCCTACAGTCGGGGACCGGAGGCTTTTTTTAGTGCGTGTGTATGGGGCTTAACCCGGCGGGGTTGCAGCGAAAGGGAAGAGCATCATGCTTTGCCCATGGGTGCTGGAGCCGGTGGGTGGCACAGCCCCTACGGAGATCCGAATCCCCCCTCAGCCTCAAACAGCGCTGCCCGCTCCGCCGGGGGCGTTCAGCACCGAGGGGTACCCGCGCCCCCCGCACGGCCCCACCAGGAGCATCCCTGAAGCATCCCCGGCTGAAGGGGAGGGGGGGGGGGGTCGGGGTCTCCTCCATCATCCCCCCCCCCCCTCCCGGGGGGGATCCTCCGCCTGCCCCGGGGCTCGGGGCGGGGGAGCAGCCGTCGCCCGCCCGCCACAGCCCTTTGAACGGACCTATCGGTCCCGGCCCCGCCGCCGCCCGCCCCCGGCCGTGATGCAGCCGGGCTCCTCCTCCCCCCCGCTCCGCAAGGGCTGGAAGCTCCCCTTAGCCTGGTTGCCCTTATTTAATTTCGAGTGTGATTTTGCTATTTTTAGCAGCTGGATCCTCTCCAGTAAGGCTGGGAGCTCGCTCCTTTCCCCCCCCCCCCCTTTCTCCCCCTTTCTCGCCCCCCCCCCTCCTTTTCCCTATTTTCCTTTTTTTTTTTTTTCCTCGTTCCTGCAAATGATTTTGATCCAGCTTCCTTCCTCCTGGAGCATTCCCCCCCCCTTTATTATTTATATAAATAAGAGGGGGGCCTGGCTGAGCCGTGGATGCGTGTGTGAGTCGCAGCCTCTCTCTCTGCCTTCTCCTTTCAGATCCGCATTTGCGAGCAGCAGCAGCCGCCGCCGGGAAGGGAGGGGGGGGTGTGTGTGTTTAATTCTCTTCACAACACAAGACACGCCAGGACAAAAAAAAAAAAAAAATAACACCCCAAAAACACCAACCCGCCCCCCAAAAACCCACCCCAAGCAGCCGGCTCCGGGATCAAGCTGACTGTGAGTGCCGGCCTTCCTCTTTCCTTTCTGCTCCGGGTGGGGGGGGGGGGGGGTGCGGGGAGGGCCGGGGGGTGGTTGGGAGGGGAAAGGGGGAGAGCCGGGTTCTGCTCGCTCCCCCCCCCCCCCCTTTCCCCTCCGCATGCTGTGCACGATCGCCCTCGGTTTGCTTGGTATGTGCAAGGACGCGTGTGTGTGCGTGCGGCGGCCCGGCTCCGCAATGCCTCTTGCTATTATTATTGTTATTAATTATCGGTATTAATAGTGCGATGCACCTGGCGGGGGGGACGGGGGGGACAGGGCTCCCCTGCGCTCCGGTACTTTGGTTCCACTTGCGCGGTGCCGGTGATGCGCGGCCGCGGCCCCCGCCCGGACTCGCAGCGTGCGCGGGGCCGTGCAAGGTGCGCGGGGCCGCGGCCGGTGCGTGGCGAGGGATCGGGAGCGTGCGTGGGGCCGGGCGGACGGGGACACACACGGACACACACACGCGTGAGGGTCGGTGCGAAGTTGCGGTGCTGGGGGCTCACCCCCAATCCCGGGACCTTGGGGCCGCGCACCCCGCACCCAGCCCTCTTTGGCCGGTGGGGGGGGGGGGGGGGGGGAGGCGGTGGAATGTGACCTAGGGCTGGCTCCACCCGGGGCTTTATTATACCCCGCAGGACAGGGGCTTCACAAAGCGTGTGATGGTGCCCTTCCTGCCTCTTTTCTTTCTCCCCCATCTCCCTCCTTCCTTTCTTTTATCACTTCCTTTTATTATGCATGCCCAGGAAGGAAGGGGGGGGTGGGGGGGTGACTTTCCTTAATAGCAGGCCTGGGGGGGGGGCTTCAAAGCAGCCCCATGGAGGGTTTGTCTAATGAGGAGCCGCGCACATCCCTTCCCAGCCCTCGCACCCCTGCCGAACAGGCTCTTCAACTTCTGCTCTACTATTCCTTCCCCTCCTCCCTCTCCCGTCCTCCCTCTGCCAGGAGGTGCGGCCGGGATCCTTCTCCAGCTGCAATCGGGCTGGATTTCCTGGGCGTGAAGAGGTTTCTGCTTTTTTCCCTGTAAGATCTAAGCCACCGCCTGTCTCCTGCCTCTCCTGGGCTGGTTTGTTTAATCTAAGAGTAGGTGGCAGGAGCAGGAGCGGGGGATTTATGGGTTTATTTGCACAGAGCAGCGTAAGCCAGCGCGGGCGGGCTGGGGGAGGCAGGAGCAGGCCCAGGGGCAGCGGGGAGCATCGCTCCGAGGGACCAGGTTGGCTCTTTTGCAACCCAAACCATGCTTGTGCAAGAGGTGGCTGCTGAGGACGGCCCAGCTCCTGTCTTGGAGCACACAGTGGGGCTGAGGAATGAGTTCAGTGGTTCCCCATCCATAGGGATGGAGAGGGGAGGAGTTTTTCTTCCCCCAGCTCCATCGATCCGGAGGCAGATGTAGCCCCTCCACCTCCAAACCCTGCACAGATTTATCCCTCCCGGCCTCGAGGAGCCTGGCAGCCCCCTGCCCTCCTCTCCAACTGATTCCTCCCTGCGTGGAAAGGTTTCTCTCTCAGCTGCTTCCTTTCCTCCATGGCAACACCGCTGCTCCCTCCCTCCTTCCCTCCCTCCCATAGGGCTTCGATGCACACGAGCGGGGCTGGAACTGCTTCCCGCGCTGTGTCCGGCACCATCCGCAGGCTCAGGATGCACCCAGGGCCAGGCAGGTGCTACCGAGCTGGGGCCACCCTCGGGTGCTGGCTGGGAAGGTGCTGGGGTGGGAGTGGGGAGCATCCCCCAGCTCCATCCTCCTCCTCATCTCCCTTTACTGAAGCAGGGCAAGGAGCTGATTTCAGCCCTGGAGCCCATGGGGGCAGCTTGGAGGTGGCACATCCTTGGGTGCGCACATCCTTTCCCCAGCACCAACTGTGGCAGCAGGCTCCGGCTCTGGGACCATTCCCAGTGGGAAAGGTCCCCTCAGCATCCCCGTCTGGAGCCGCTGCGTGGGGCCGTGTCTGTCCCAGCACGGCGCGGTGGGGGCTGTACCGGGCCCATCTGTTTCCAGCTTCGGGAGAGGGTACGGCGCAGCTCGGAAGCTGTGTTTCCTCTGACAAAGATTGACTTAAAAAGAGACAAACCCGTCCCAGCCCCTGCTCAAACGGCGTTTTTCTGCCCTAAATCGAAACCATCCTTCTCTTTCTTTTCTTGTCTAAGAGACCCCTCGAAGGGCTCCGGGCTGCTCTGAGTAATGCTTTCGGGGTGTTTACACGGCAGCGTGGTTTCTGTCTCTCTGTTGTTGTTGTTTTGCACTCGTGAGTCACTTCCAGAGGGGAGCAGGAGCTGACGCGTGGTTTCTAACACGGTCTGAGCCTGGCTCCTGGCACTGCACATCCCACCCGCGCCCGGTCCCAGCCATCCCCATGAGGCTCAGCATCCCCTGGGATGAGGAGGGGTCAGCACCCCCGCAGCCCTGTTCTCTCCGGTAGCGCTGTCCCAAGCTGCTCTAATGCTGCCCAAATTGAAACCAGTTGCTCAGAAGCAGGGGTTATTAACCCTGTAGGCAGAGATAGGGACAGTGCCTCCGTCTTTGCATGCAGAGCATCCCCGGGGAGAGGGGGATCAGGGAGGTCGCTCCATCCGTCCCACTGCAAAGCTGTGATTGTTCTCCCAGGTAGCTCCAAGCCCCATGCTTATGGGCAGCGAGGTGGGGCTGTTTCCATTGGGAATCATCACATCACCACCCCCCAGGCAGGTGCCCCCCTCCCTGCATGGCCACAGTCTCCCAACCAAGGAGCAGAGTGGGTGCCCTGTACTCAGGATCACCATTAAGAACCAGGGCTGTGGTAGCAATCCTGCTCCCTTCCAGCCTCGAGCCCATTCTCCTGGCTCCTGCGCTGGGAGCTGGGTGTGGATCTGGCCCCACGGCTCTGGAAGAGCAGGTTTTCCCTATGCCCCTGGGGAAGCGCTGAAGTGGAGGAGGGAAGATGGAGCCTTTCCCTCTGTGGGATTTCCCTATGAGCAAGGAAAGACATCCAGCCCTTTGGAACATTCACGGGGAAGGGGCCCAGTGTCCCTTGGACAAGGGACCGGTTTGGGGGAACCTTGTCCTTAAACCCATCTGGAGGGCAGGAGCGGGATGGGGGTGCAGTGGGGCTGGATGGGGGGAGCAGGGCTGTGGGAGCCATGTGGGGCCCTGTGCCACCATTCACCTTGTTCCAACTTGCCAGTGCTCCAGATTAAATCCGGAGCCACTTTCCTCCTTTCCAGAAAGCAAATGGGCTCTGCAGGAATGGGCAGAGCTGCTGCTCCCCAAATGCTTGCTGGGGACCCTGGGAGCTGCCATAGCACTGGGGCACTGACTGATGCAGCGAGTGTTGTGCCATGGGATGCACAGCAGGGACCAAAGGCCTGTTTGCAGGAGGGACATGGGCGCAGTCGGGGTGGCTTTGCAGCGGCAGGAGGGATGGTCTTTGCCTGCTTTGTGTTTCTGGGGCACAAAAGTCCTGCACCCCAGAGTGTGGTACTGCTGAATGGGTTCAAAAATACAGGTGGGGTCCCTTCTAGGCATAGCTTTTAGTGATGCTTTTGGTTTCTCCACCACGGGCTGGTCCATGCAGGGAGAGGAGGAGGATGCAGGCAAGCCTCTGGGAAGGGATGGGTTAAGGTAGAAGCTGCTCATTTCAGCTGCATGATAATTCTGAGGCATTATTAGAGGGGGGACCCTGGTCCTTGTCACCCCCTGTCTGTGCTGATACCCCACTGCCATCCCCGTCCCTACAGGGGGACCAGGAGGTGGCTGTGGGGGGCCGAGCATCCTTACCTGGGAGGTAGCAGGGACAGGGCATGTCCATGACTCCATGGGAGGCTCCGGCTGCCCCACTCATCCCTCTGTGCCCCCATTGCCTGCCTGCTCCGGGGTGAGGGTGGAAGGAACGGCGTGGTCCAGCGTGGCCAAACCATCACTGACCAAGCTTCTTCCCTCTCCTGCTCCTCACTGCTGCTGGAAGGACCATGAGTGAATCCAGCGCCAAATCCAGCCAGCCCCTGGCCTCCAAGGGGGAGAAGGACGTGTCGGAGAAGAGGGGCCGGGGGCGGCCCAGGAAGAAGCCGCAGGTACGTGGGGTTCCCCGGGAGGTGACGATGGACCCCAATGGGCAGCTCTGCCCATAGCGATGCCCTCGGGGCCGGGCACCCCCATGTTACAGGGCAGCAATAAACATCCCCCACTTGCACCCCCAGCAGCATCCCCCGGGTAGGGATGGGGATGCCTGCAATGAGCCCCCCCCACCTCCCTTTTGGCAGTTCCTCCTGCTGCTCAGAACCCTCCCAAAGGGCTTCACACCCCTTTAGCTCTGTAACACCCCATTGCTCCTGGCCAGGGAAGGGCTTGAGGCCTCCCCTTGCTCCACCCCAGCCTGAACCTGCCTTTGCAGACGAGCTAATTAAAGCCCCATTAGCAAAAGCTGCTCAGAGGGATAAGATGCTGCTGGAACCTTTACAGTGCCAACTCCTCCTCCAGTCCCCTCCCAGAGGCAGGGGGGGGCTTGGGGCACGTTTTCCTGACTGGCAGCTTCCCTTTGCCAGGCGGCAGCAGCATCAGCACCAAGCTGGGGTCCGGGGCTGAGGAACCAGCCGGGACCATGGGCTAAGCCACGCTGCCAATGCCGGGTGGGATGGGTCATGTACGAGCCCGGGTGAAGGACACGCAGCAGCCTGAGCGCCGATCCCGGTGCAATCAGTGCTCCCAGTACCACGTGCAAGAGCATCTCTGCTGTGGAGAACGGGGCTCCCAGCCCGGAGCATCCCAAGGTGTATCCCAGGGTATCCTGGTGCACCGGGAGCCACTCGGGGCACGCATCCCTGCCCGGGGGTCCCCATCCGCAGTGACCCCCCTCTGCTCTCCCTCCAGCAGGAGCCCAGTGAGGCCCCGACCCCCAAGAGACCCCGCGGACGGCCAAAGGGCAGTAAAAACAAGGCCACCCCGAAAGGCAGGGTAGGTGCTGGGGATGGGGGATGCTCCGGCCAAGCTCCGTTTTGAGCTCAATTACAAACAATTTGGGGCAGATCTATCGCTGGGTGTGTGTGTGTTGGGGGGGGGAGGGTTGGCTCTGACCCCCAGGGAAGGGGGGGGGGGCAGGAACCGTGGGTGTCAGGATGAGGACAGCAGCGAGGAACCTGTTTGTAAACCAGGCGACTCACATCCTGCGCCCACCCCGTGAGTCATGGTGGTGGTGGTGGGGGGGGTCCTGCCTGCGGGCCGGGACGTGCCATTGGGGTGATGAATCTGGCAGTCACTGGGTGGGAGGAGGAAGGGGACCCGCACCCTTCCTCCCCCCTCCAGCAGCATCCTGGGGATGAGGGACCAGCCCCAGCTTGACCAAAACGTCTCTTTTTGCCCCCGATTTGCTCAGAAAGCTGCAGTCACACCAGGGAGAAAACCTCGAGGACGACCCAAAAAGTCGGTGAGTGGGGTTTTCCCTTCCTCCTCCATGCTGGCCCTTTGTGTGTGCAGCAGCATCCACCCACCCCGTGCATTATGGTCACCTCTTTGTGCTTTCCTCTCTTAATTTCACCCTCCCCTCCCCTCAGTTTACAGCCCCATGGGATGTAGCACGCACCCACAACTGCCACCCAGATAGCTGGGAGCAGGTTTCATCTCCCTTCCCCACGTGCACATCCTATTGTCCCCAACCCTGTGCCACATCCCCATGGAGAACTGGGACACCCAGCAGCATCCTCGTTGTGAGGCTGCTCTGCCCCACGCGAGGTTTTGCCCCTTTTCCCACTTTGATTCCTTGTGGAAGGCAAAGGGGCTGACACCAACCGGGGTTGGTTGCATCCTGGGGTCTCCTGGCCCGGTGGCACAGAACCAGGGACAGTTTTGGGGCCCCCAGGGTGGGCCCGAGCCCATCCCATGCCCAGGACACCGTGTGCTGCTGCTCCATGAAGGCAGTGGGGCCGGCGCTGACTCATGCTCACACTCACCCTTACTCAGCACCACGTGCAGATGCTCATGGCCACCCCGGGGGGCACTTGGGGATGGGGCAGCATCACATCGGGATATGGGGCTCCCTCCTTGCACTGAGCCCACCCGGGGGGTTGGTTCTTACCTGGGGTTTAACCTGCAGTGGTCAGACCTGGAGCAAAGCAAAGGGCAGCGCCCCGGGTCAGGGGGATGCTGGTGCCTCCTTCTTTACACAAGGGATGCGATGCATCCATGGATGACGGGGGGTGCCTGCAGCCCCTGGCCACCCCCTGCCCTCCCCGACCGCTCTCCCTCACCTCACAGCAGCAGGATGAAGAGGAGGTGAACATTTCCCAGGAGTCATCCGAGGAGGAGCAGTGAAGCCTCCGGAACCGGCGCTACCTCATTGCCTGATCGATGGTCCCGTGTCCCCGGGGGGACAGGGATGGGGAGAAACCCACGGCGCGGCCCTGGCTTTGTCCTCCTCCCTGCTCCGCTCCCTCCTCACCCTCACACAACGGCAGCACTGGAAAATGGCCCAACCTGGGTGACCCCCACAGCCCCCTGCCCGTGGGGGGGGGAGCACCTGTCCCAGTTCCCCTCTCTCCCCAGTGCTGGGTTATGGGGCAGCCCCACCGGCAAAGGGGGTGACTGGCAGAGAGCTGGGGCTGGGACCCCTTGCCTTTGCTGCCCCTCAATGCAGCGATCTCACCCATCCAAAGCGGGCGCTGGGCTTTGCCCCGGGGACCCTGCAGGGAAGGGATGAGGGGGTCAGCGAAGGCGAGACCCCCACATGGATCAGACCTTAGCCCCGGCCCGCTGCTACCCCAGGCAAACCTCCCCTTGTGCCCCCCCCCAAGTCCTGGGCAACTGCTCCGTGTGTGTGGGAGCAGCACCCACAGCGATGCCGGGGCTCGGTGCCCATCCCCGGGGGTCCCAAGTGGGGCCAGCTCAGGGCAGCCCCTTCCCCCTCGGTTCTGCTATAAACAGAGAATTGTTTTTTAGTACTTGTTTTGGGGTTTTCCTTTCATTCACAACTACCTCTGGATATTTAAGTTCCTCTCTGCACTCACACACGTGCTGCTGCTGTGGCGGGGCATCGCTGGCTCCGTGGTTCCTTTCTCGCTGGGGGCCGGGGGGTGTTTTTGGTTTGGTTTTTCCCTTCCCCTTTGGTTTTTTTTTCGTTGGTTTTCATTAATTGCTGATTTTACAGCCGAGGTTTTTGTTCTGCTGCTCCCCGGGCCAGTGGCTGCGGTGGGATGGGGACTGGGATGCTCTCCCTCCGCACCGCTCCCTGCACAGTGGCTGCAGCGGGACCGGAGGTCGGCGCTGGGCGGCCCCGGTGGGGGACAATTGGGGTTCGGTTGGTTTGGTCTTTTCCTTTTGGGTTCACTGTTAACGACCTTTTGGGTTCCTCTTTGCAGTTACTTGAATAAAACATTTTATGGACGTTTGCCGCCTCTGCCCTGGTCCATGCACACAGGCACGAGCGGATGCTCCGCAAGGAACCTTCTCCACAGGACCCTGATGGTGCCATCCTCCAAGGGATGGATGGGAGCTGCCAACGGGAACAGAAACAGGCAAAGCCCTGCCGCCCGCCCACCCCAAGAACTCCCATCCTCAGCACCTTTACACAACCAAGCCGAGTCATGATGCTGCTATGGTGGGGACACGATGCTGACCCCCAGGCTGGCCTGTGGCCTGCTGAAACCCTCCCTGCCCTATGCAGGAGGCTCTGGCCAAGTGCAGAGAAACACCTTTATTGGCTCCAGCACCGCTGCCCCACAGGCATCGTGCCCCCCGCACCCTGCAAAGGCCCACATCCGGATGCTCCCGCACCGAGTACCAGCCCCGGCCGCCCCACTGAGGACGTTCTAAGGGGCTGGCAGGGCAGCTCAAGCAAAGAAATCAGCAGAACTTGGTGCCAAGGTGGGAGATCACCCGTTAGCATCAGCACCCATGGCCTGGGATCGCCCCCAGCAGTGCCACGCTACTCCGGGTGCATCCTGCCCTTCCCGGCAGGCAGCGGTGCCGGTGTGGATGCATTCATCCCTTGGCTCCTGTGGGCAGGATTCAGTCCCAGCTCTGCAGCAGGATCAGGCCTTCCAGTCCCCGCGCAGGGGCCGGAGGGGCGCAGCCCCCCCCCAGCCGGGCACCACCTGCAACACACAGTGCTATGGGGGGGGGGGGACGGCCCCAGCCCCGACCCAGAGGGGCAAAGCAACCCCAGACTATGTCGGGATGGGTTGGAGGAGCCACCACAGCCCATGCCTCCCGCATGGATGATGCCCAACCCCTCGCTTAGCTCCCAGAGATGCTCCCGCAGGGCAGGCTGGCATCGTGGGCTCCCACCCGGGCCCCAAAACACCCGCGGCGCTGCTCAACGCTGCTTCCCCATGTAAAGGATGAGCACGGCACGCAGCCAAACCCAACCCCTGCAGCCCCGAACCACCGGAGCGGCTCAACCCACCCGGGCATCCTCCGCCTGCACCAGCAGCTCCTGCTCCGACTCCTGCAGCTCCTCGGCCGGGTCGTAGCTGTACATGGGCAGCAGGCGGTGCCGCAACCGATCGAACCTGCCCGGGGCGCGGCGGCTCAGCAGGGTCCGGTCCCACGGGGCATCATCCCCCACCCGTAAACCCGCACCCCGCCGCTCACCTCCGCTTCTTCTGGATGTACATCACCTGCGGGGAAAGGCGTCAGCGGGCCCCGGACCCACCCCGCCGCCCTCCATCCCTACCCCGACCCCCGCTCACCGCGGCCAGGACGGCGCCGAGGAGGGTGACGAGGACGAAGGGTCCCAGGACGTAGCCCACCAGCGAGTCCCCCGCCGCGCCCGGGGCCGTGGGGGCCGTGGCGTTGCTCATAGCCCAGCGCCGGCTCCTGCGCGCATCGGGACACCCGCGTCCGGCCCCACGGCGGCGGGAGGGGGGGGAACGGACGGGACACGGGGGACACAACGGGGACGACTGCGGGTGGGGGTCAGCGTTAACGACCCCCGGGACACGAGGAGCCCCGCGCGATGGGGGGATGGGGGGAGGGGGGAAACGGGGGACACGCAACGACCTCTGCCCCCCTCCCCCCCCTCCCCACCGCATCCCCGCCCCACCTGCGCGCGCCGCGCACCCCCCGCGCCCGGAACCCACGCGGAGGCGCGGGACGGGGGGGGGGGGCGGGGCAATGGGCGGGGCCCTTGGGGCGGGGCTGGGGGGGGGGAGGGGGGGAGGCAGTGGCAGAGCGCGGCCGGGAGGGGGCAGCAGAGACCGGGCTGGGGGGGGGGGGGGGAGGAGGAGGAAAAGGGAGAAACGAGGGAGGAAAAGAGGAAAGAAAAGGGGAAAATGGGAAAACTGCAAACGGGGGAAAGAAGGAAAACACAAAACGGGGAAAAGGCTCTTGGGGGGGGGGGGGAAGCAACGGGTGTGCGGATGGATGCAGGGTGGAGGGATGAGGGGATGGGAGGTGCAGAGGGGGCGGGAGGCGCGCAGATGATGATGGATGGATGGAGCTACAGGCAGAGGGAGAGGAGCCGGGGCCGTGGCGGTGCCGGCGGTGTCACCCATGGCGGTGGCAGCACCCAGCCCTGATCCCGGCCGTGGGGCTAATCCGCTTTGCCCGCGCTGGGACCAGATGGCCCCACTAAGTGGGTCAGCCCCCGGGAGCGGGAGGCACTGGGGAGCAGGGAGCCACGGTTTGCTTCCTAAGAGCTAAGAACAGTGAGGTGGAAGAGAGGAGCCGGGGAAAGGCAGAGCTGGGGGGCCTGGTCCCTTTGTCCATGCTGACCCTCCCTGCCTTATGCAGTCTTCCCAAACCAGCCACAGCCGCAGCGGCCCCTGGTCCCCAACCCCATTGGTGCACAAGAGCATCACACCTGAGCGGGGCATTGCGGGATGCTCGTGCTGCATCCGTCTCTTCCCGGCTAAAATAAACCCAACCACTTCTAGGAAAGTCCTTGGAGAGCGCGAGGGAGCAGACCGGGGCTCACACAACCCTTCCCCATGGCCACAGCATCTTCAAGTCCTGGGTGGTTCTTTTCTTTCCCCATCCATCGCTGCCCAGGGCATCCAGATGGGGATAAAGGGGGAGCTGAGGGATGCTCATCCCTAGGGAAACCTCCCCAGGGACGCTGAGGTCAATGGCATAACCTGGCCTGGAGATGTGACACCTTTGTGACTGGGGTGGAAGGTGGGTTTTTAGCAGACAATGAGCTAGAATAGTGACACCGGGTATTTCTGCTCCAGAACTTGCAGTGAGAGACACCAGCCCCTTCTCAGACCCCAACAGATAACTGGGGACAGCTTTGCTGAGCACTAAGCTCCATTTAAGCAGCTAAGAGCAAGCAACCGGATTTCCAGCCTGCGCATCGCTCCCGTGCTCACCCAGCCAGAGGTACCAGGGCAGGGGAAGCGCCAGCCCCGGGCCCACCAGAGGTTAACCTTGCCTTTGGCTCCATGCTGCAAATGTGAGGACATCAAGCACGAGCCAGGGGTAATAATGCAGGGCAGGAGGAGCCCGGTTGCGTTCACATCCCATAGGGAATGTGCAAATGAAGGTTAAGAGATGCATCTGCCAAACCACTTTGCAGATAAGCACCAGAGTTCCTATGGCACACTTACCCAAGCAGGCAGGGAGGGCATGAGACCCCTGAAGGGTCTGCGATACCCTTTGGGAAAGCAATCAGACAGTGGCAGAGCATTTGTGCCCCACGCATTTTGCGTGCACGCGCATGGAGCCATCACCCTCGCTGTCCCCTTGCAGCGCTCAGCCCAGCTCATATGGTGCCAGTGGGCACTTGGCCTCTCGGAAAGGACTTTGTGAGATAGACGTGAGCAGACTTGGAGCCAGGACCACTCCAGCTCCACGAGGCCCTTGGTCAGGACTAGAAACATCCAAACAAGACTAAATGCCTTAAAACTCACGTCGAGCTCGGTGCAGGGTGCCCTCCCTGCTCAGATGAACCCACCTCAGCTTCAGGCTGTTGGTGGCATCCCTCCGGGTTTTCTTTCCCATCCCAAGCCCCGTTCTCCTTTAGTGCCCGATGTCCAAGTTCACACCTGTGGGTAACAGCACCGGGAGGAAGAGAGACCACGCGGCGAGCCGAGCTGTGTGTGAAACACTGGCACCTTTATTGGTTGGCACTGGGTTACAGCCTGCGCTTGTCAAACCTGCACCCTCCAAGCTTCAGTTTCCACTTCCTTAAGTCTCTTAAAGACAGCGACGACCTCTCCTCCCTCACACACACAGACACAGGCACCCTGGGAAAGGAACCAGCCTGCAGCCATCGACAGCTTGGAACGCACCAAGGCCTCACTGCAGAAGAGGGATGGAGGGTTTGTACCGACAGCAGAGCTGAGTGTGGAGTGGGCACTGAGGAGACACTATGGGGTCCAAAGTACATAGGTATAGCTACCCCTGCCAGCCAAGACTAACCAGGAGCAAGAGTGCACCTGCGCTATTCATAAGCTCCAACTAAGACCTGAGCCTCGAGGCAAACAAAACGTTGCTTTTTACTGAATGCATTTGACTTTGATCCATGTTCCATAAAGGAGAACAAGTCCAAGTCAGTAAGAGAGAGAAGCACCAGCTGAAACGCTACATTTCCAAAGAGCTCTTGCAGTTGTAAAGTGTTTTTGCAAACCATTTCAAACAACCACGTGTTAACGTCACCAGATCCGAAACACAAAGCACTCGAGTGAGGAACGGAAGTCTGCAGCCAGAAGAATAAAGGCAAACAGATTATGGGGAATTACAAGTCCAAAACCATCCAGAATTCACAGAGAACCAAGCATTTAACTTACACCTCACTGAGAATCTCAGCCTTCTTCTATTCTAATAAACTAGCAAGTCTGGTCTCTACATCAGTTTTCCTCCTCGGAACTGATGCTTCCATGTGAAAGCCGGGCAGCAGCAGCAGCAGCACAGGAGCCCACACTGAGTTATCCCAACCACACAGGAGCAGGGAATGCTAGAAGATCACTGTCTACCTCTGCTGCTGCCACCAGGCCTGGGCACTGAATGACTTGGAAAAGTATCTGCGAGGCTTTAAGACACCAACCTTTTCCCTAAGGATCGCTCCCACCGGCGCTCCATGCATGAGGCCAGCACAGGTCAGTACCTGGATTGGTACCAAAGTCTTACCCTTGGTTGTGAAGCTGCGTTGGAACCAGCTCAGACATGAAGAGATGGTCACAGCCCCACAGCTTCCATCTCGAGGTCTCTCGATTCCATAAAGGATGGAGAAGGCACAGCAGAGGCATCCACACCGCTGCCATCAGGGTGATCATTTATCCCACTGCTCCAACCAGCACCGGGAATGCTGCCAGGGACAGTGGGTCTGGGAAGGCCGAGCAGGAAACACAAAGTGATTGCTCCAGGTCTTCTGATGTAATAAATATCAAATAGGACACACAGAGGTTCAGCAAATGCTCTTGGACCTCCCGGGGTTCATTTCTGAGGCAATTCTAGAGCCAATTTCTCAATAATAACTTCAAAATTCTCACTTTCCCACGAAAAAGGAAAAAAAAAAAAAAGGAAAAATCCGTATCAAGTAACACCAAAAAGAGGTTTTATAAATCTCCTAAACACATCTTCAATCCAGTTTTCTCTTTCACTCACCTACACCTCTCTCATGTACAGACCTCATGACACTACACCCAGTAAACCACTACACGTATCTACGCACCACCTTCCACCACTGAAGCCAAAAGCCCTGTCTTCATTCTAACACTAAGAAAAGTGAGGCTCACATATATATATATATATGTATGTTATAGTATCTAACTCTGAGACAAGGTGAGATACACCAGGAGCAAGGTCACCTGCATCCCCAGGCTGTGGTGCAGCCACTAGATGATGCTATCTTATTGAGCAGAACATGGCCGGGAGGGAAGGCAGAGGCATTTAAAGGCAGGGTACCAAGTTGTCCAGCATCTTTGTAAGATAAAAGCTCTTCACACCAATAAACGACTGCAACAACTTCATTTCTTGATGCAAGTTTGGCTGAAGTGCCTGATGCATTTCAAGGAGCCAGCACCAGCTGTAGCTTCTACCCCAGGCAAGTTAAACACCCGAACCTGTCTTTCACAAGCTGCCACTTGCACTGGATGCTTTGTGCAGGGACAAACATCGCATCTGGCTCTCCGGAAAGCACAAAACATCAATTTGGGATAAAACAGCGTTTCTGAGAACAAGCAAAGGAATCTAAGTGGTTGCAACCGGGAGAGGCAAAGATTCACCCTGCGCAGCTCCACATCAGCTGCTCCCCAGAGCACCAAGCGTGCTGCAAAACGGTGACATGTTCGCTGCATGGATAAGTTGAGGCAGAGGCTCCCAAGTCCATGCTCAATTTGAGAAGGGAGCCGAGGATTCCTGACATTCCCTACCCACATTTTCAGCCACCGAACGCTTTGTGTCGGCACAAGGGAAAAAGCAACACTAGCAGATTCCGATCCCTGTTGATTTTCCAGTTTATAGAGCTTGCTTTAAGGCACATTCAAGATGACACCGAACTAAACTGCCATCGTGCTTAAGAAGTGCACACGATGTCCAGCACCGAGTCAGAAAGCTGAACTACTGTTCCTTTCTAGCCCCCAAACTAGAACTCTTACCTTCCTCCACAGCAGTGAGACCAAAGGCCGGCATCATCATCAGAGCATTCACATCTGAAGTTTCTCATCATGTACCATAGAGAGAACCCCATTAAATCACAGCAGCCTTACTATCAAGAACCAACAGCCACTCCCAAGTACTTCCTGCAGCTTACCATACTGACCATCAGCAAGAGATGGGGGGATAAAATGGCCAGACTAACAGGCCAGATACGCTCTCCCTCTTTGATCTATGAGGCAGCTTAAAAACCCAAATCACTGAAGGGCCCCTCCGTTAAAGCCCCTACTTCTATCCCCTTGTATTGGGTTTTAATTGCAGTTCCTGGCTAATAGGGTCTATCAGTAACACCAGTGTATGACTTCAGCTCTGTTTAACAGCATTAAACATGAACAAGTGAGCTCGCCATCAGAATCCTGGGAATGATCTTTTGCTACATCTGCCCTACCCGTACTGAACAGCCTCATCCTGACCCCTTCTCTTTAACAGATTTATCTCAAGATTTCAGCTGTAAAACCCCTTAGAGGGTGCATGCCTCGTTCTGAGAGCCCAAAGTCATGAGCAGCTAACAACTACCCTATGGAATGCCCACGGCACAGCAGCCGGTGGCTGCAGTACATCCTGCACCCTCCGGCCGTCACTGCCTCGGTCCTAAAGAGCTTTCACAGCCCAAAGTTAAACGTATCTTCAATGTGACAAAGACTAACTCTCATTTTCAGCTTGCAACGTAGCCATTAATCCAAAGGAATGCTGTGCCAAATGATGGACCTGGAGAGGGAAACACCAAACACTCATTTCTTCTATGGAGTCACTGCAGTTCTGAGCTTGACTGAAGCTAACCCTCAGAGAGCAAAGCCAGGGCTGCAACAAGCAGAAACAGTGTGCCGAGCTAAAGGAGGTACGAGCTTCCCCTGGCTTTGTGACAATACCAAGTTTCTCTATCACCACTAAACTATTGTCTAGAGTTCAATAATCCAGCTTTGTGAAGCGACCGAAGCACTTCACCATTACTGAATGCCAGATTCCAGGGAAATGGGGAGAAAAACCCCTCTTCTTTCACTCTTCTCTAAGCATCTCGCAGGAAAAGGTCACCTCCTGTGCCCAGCAGTGTCTTACACAGCCAGACACCAATACCATGCACAGCCACGTGCCATACCTATTAAATACCTACTAAATACTCCCCAAACATAAAATACTCGTTAAAACAAAGGGTCTCCCATCTGAAACGTGCCTTTGAAAAGCCTCAGCATGAACAAAGTCAACTTTGAAGCCCAAACCACTTCAAGACAAAGGTTGCTGTACCTCATTTTCTGCTGCACGCGATTCCTAAGCTGACATTAACCAATGCATGGAAATCCCTGTTCCACCATCCCAAAACCTTATTTGAGAGAGAATTCCTAGAGCTCAACAGGGACAGTTTCAGCTCCACTAAGTTTAATCATACTTGGCACCCTTCTGCAGAGGGACATCACCTGCCTTTTGAGCTCCACACACCATTCCAGACCAGCAGAGAGGTTTGGGATCTGACAAACACTGCTGGAGACATTTGTATCCTGGGGGTGTCCTCCTTTCCCTCATGTTCCCAGGCTGGAGCCAACAAATGCCATGTACCCACTACCCAGCATTGGCTTAAGCCACCAGCTGATGTTTTCCTGCCACAGCAGCGATGCAGCGTGGTCTGTCAAACACTCCCAGTGACAGAGCAACAGATTTTAGGTACTTTGAGGTTTAAAAGATCATCCCAGTGAGTGCTGGTGCCTCAGCGCTGAGCACGCTTCTCCCATTAAGGTCCCAGATGGCCAGATGCAACTCCACTACATGAGGCTTTCTGATGCTGACAATACCAGAGTGGGGAGTGAATCAGTGCTGCACTGAGCAGCAGGTTTCCCTTTTCCCCCTTACTTCATCACTCATCTTGCAACCCTGAGGTGATGCTTAGGTACATAGAGAAATCCAGTCCTTGAGCGTTTCGAGGGCCAGTAATTTTCCCCCTCTTCCTCAGCTGCAGGCAGACTTGCTTCTTGATGCATTGTGAGGTGTCCTTGTACATACCATGAACACAAAAAGCAAGGGAAACGTGATCTTAGTAAAGAAATCACCCCTAAGAAGCTGCATAGGATGGTTTTTCATGAGACCCCAGGGGTCAGAGGTGTGCCCAAAGGTAATGAACAGCAGCCCCTCCAACAGAGGCTGCGCAGCATCACCACACTTGGCCTTTACCCCAGCCCAAGACAAGCATCTGAAACCTTGCAACTTGAGGGGTGACTTGGCCAAATCTGCTGCAAACTGCCTAAATAAAGCAGGGGTATTCCTCAGTTTTAGCTAAGAGCACACCAGCACCGAGATGAAAGCAATGCTGAAGGCCAAACTAAGAACACTATCCTTCAACGAGAAGCTGAGACACATTGTAATGGCTCGATGCAAGGGGTCAGGCTGGACACTACGTCGTTTGAGGTAAGAATGCCATTCTCTCCAACACTAGCTCAACATAGCACCAGTTTTAGCAATGCTGGAAGCCTCACTCTAATCCTACAGGGTTTTTAGCAGTTGGTCATGAGAGCAGCCCTAAGCAGGACCATCAGGCAGGCACCAGTCTGCCCACGAAGCCCAGAACAACTCTTCTGTCACTAAAAGGTAGTTTGATTGTCGGTCCCAAACCAATTTCACATCATGTTGGACAAAACTGCTTGAACTGCTAGGGCGTGCAGCTACACCGCTACTAGAGAAGAACCTCAGATGCTGAGGAAGAAGGGAATTCGTGTGGTGCAAGGAGAGGTTCAAGGAGCACAGGACTAAGGCCTGCTCCGAAAGTCGCATCTGTTGCATAAAGGCTATTTCTACCCCAGGAGCTATTTCCAGTTAAGAAGGCATTAATATCAGCCACTCCATGTCCCTGTGTTAACAGCATCAATTCATGCCACATTAAAACACTTTCTTGGCACAATTTATTTTTTCTGACCCAAACAAATAAGCCATTAGCGAGTCATTAACAATATTCTACCCTAAATTGTCAGTTGAACAGCCCTGTAAAAACATTTTTAGTTTAAAAACAAAACTGTGCATGCTGTTGATATTAAAACTGCAGTTACTCTTTCAGGAGTACCAGCTGTTTTGTTGCAAAGCATTTTCAATGTACTAATCTGTACAGTAAAGACAAAAACTCAATCGAAGGCAGTAGATGGCTGTGTTAGGTGCCACTCAACGGCTCGGTGACTGAATTTCTTGTACACTTCCAGATACAATATTCAAGCCCTTTTGAGAGTTTGGTTCAGGCTGATCAGCACAGAGTAAGCAAGTATTGTACATTCGTCTCTAAGTTGAAGTGAATTGAACTGGTGTAATTTGGGCTCAATTCCAGACACTCTGTTTCAAGCTACTTCTGGAATAATGCCTCAGCTTTTTCTTCTGCGTGGTTTTCCATGTCAACAATCACTGGCACTGCTTTTGGCCTTGCTACTCCACACTGATGAAAGCAAGAACAAGTAAAAGGAACAGAATAGGATCTTAAAATGAACAGCTTCTTGCCAAACCAGCAAAGATACCATTCCCCCCTGTCCCGGGCTCCATGGATATTTGTATCAGATTTTCATATTGTGAGCGCTTCTCGGGAAGAGAGAAAAACTCTGGAACAGTGAGTATTTATTAGAATATTCTTTTGTTAAATAAGGGGGGGGGGGGGGGAAAAAAAAGGAAAAAAAAAAAAAAAAAGGAAAAAAAAAAGAGAAAAAAAAAAGAGTACTGCAGATTTAATTTCACATCTTGGCTCTGCTCTGACAAAGGAGAAGTCGCTGAACTCCGCAACTTCTTCTTGTCCCAAGCCAGGGATTAATTAATGCCCCTCCCAAAACTTGTACCTGTCCCAACCCACCCCTCCCACCCCCAGTCCCAACCCTTCCCCTTTTATTCCCCAACTAGACAACACTGTTGGCAAATCAAGACAGCATGAAACTTACATCAATAAAAACAACAAAAAAAGTAATGTGAAGTGTGCCAACGCATCAGGGACGCTATCCTATTGAACAATGGACTCCTCCACCTAACAATCCTGCTCAGAGTCAGCTGTACCTTTCACAGAGGGAGAGTTTACACATTTCGAGCATGCTCCATGGTGCAACCCTAAGTGCTGCACAACCACAGGACAAGAGACTGAACACCTGAATTCTTCCCCCCCCCCCCCCTCACCCCAGGACTTGTTTGCAGGGATACAGGTGGTTACCCAGCCAAGGGTTCGTGCAGTAACACTCAGTAAATACAACCCGACGCTTTAGCACAAGTTACAGGTATCCAGTTCACGTGGTATAAGGCATGTGGACAAGAGGAGACACCAGCGGGATGCAGCAGGATCAGCAGGACAGCATTGGTGATTGACGCTCCAGTTTGTCAGGCTTTGACCCCACTCTGGATCCCTACCACAGACAATGAATTCAGTTTCTATCGTAGCATCTCTGAGGCTATTCATTTTGTTTTGGCCAAGTGTTGAAAGACCAACTCCTTTTTGTTTCATTTTGATGCAAATGCAGAGACATTGGCAGAAGCTGGAGGAGAAGCAACGGAGCAGCAGGGATGTCTGCAGGTGATGAAAACTCTGCCCTCAACTTCAAGTGTCACTGCACTGAATGGGGAGATACCGAATGGGGAGTAAACTGGCCCAGCCACCAGCACTGTCACAGAACGTGGAGTTTTTAAGAAACAAGAACAAAAGGCAAACAGATTCATTCCAAACCCTTCCTGCAGGAGCAGCCCAGGATTAAACCAAATTCCTGAAGAATTAAAACGTTAGATTCTCCATCTAAGAAAAAAAAGAAGTTTATACATATGCGCTGCAAGTGACCCCCCCACAGGTCTGAACAGCACCTGACAGTACAGACTAAGACTTAGAAGAGTTGATCTCACATTTGAAGTCTTTTAATTAAAAAACAACAACAAAAAAAAACCAAAACAACCCCAAAAAAGAAGTGGCTATGGCTGGGCTGACACAAACGGGACACTCAGAACACAAGGCAGAGGCCAGACTGGCAGCCTCGCTCGCCAGGCCATGGAAGCAGTGTGACGGGAAAGAAAGGGGCACTTCATGCACAAAATGTATTTTACAAAATACAGATCCCAGAAAAAGCCAAAAAAAAAAAAAAAAAGCCAACAAAAAGGAAAAAAAAAAATAAAAAATAAATCCCACCTTGCGCTAAATTGCAGCACTCTCACCACTTGCTGTGCCACAGGCTGCTGCTGCCCATGCCTGGCTTGAGAGAGGAGGCATGTGAAAAAGGGGACGGGGAAGGGAAATCCATGTTTCAGTCTGTTTCTCAGAACCTCTCTCACAGGGACCTCTTCAGTCATCTGATGTCAGGCACAGAGCTCTCAGAGTATGTCGTGGTCATGACAGGAGTGCCATTGTTTGCCAAACAACCTTGCCTCAAGGTTTCGAAATAAGAGGCCTGCACTGGTTTATGATACTGCAGAACTTTTATGGCATCTTCAATCTTAAACCATTCCCTTTTCCTTCCTGTTGGGAAAAGAAAAATCAGGAGGTGGAGTCAAACAAAGTTACACTTTCTATGTTTAAACAGTACTGTGAACAGCTTTCAGCCGTTATCACGTGCACCAATAAGGCAAGAACCATTCCACTGTGCAGCAAAGTGTCAGTGCAAAAGATACTGGGAAATTTTTCCTCATTTTTCCAGATTTTTTCCCCCATTTTTCCAGACTACTCTGGGCACCGCCTCCCAACACTACACTGACGGCTCCTCTGTCCCCATGCTAGGTATTCCTTTAGGGCAGTACATCCACCGTGCAAACAAACTGGCCTTGTGTTTCCTAATTTAAACCCCCCACACTTATTTCCTACTTCCCTAATTTCTCTTCAAGTCAGATACTCATTTTAAGACAATCCACAACAACACACACCAACCACCACTCAATTCCTATCCATCTGCAAGCTAACCTCAGTTTTTGGTGGACATCACTCATTTCTTACTCTTTCAGTATCTGAAGGGGGCCTATAAGGATGCTGAGGAGGGACTCTTCATTAGGGATTGTAGTGACAGGACAAGGGGTAACGGGTTAAAACTTAAACAGGGGAAGTTTAGATTGGATCTAAGGAGGAAATTCTTTCCTGTTAGTGTGGTGAGGCACTGGAATGGGTTGCCCAGGGAGGCTGTGAATGCTCCATCCCTGGCGGTGTTCAAGGCCAGGTTGGATAAAGCCTTGAGTGACATGGTTTAGTGTGAGGTGTCTCTGCTCATAGCAGGAGGGTTCGAAGTGGATGATCTTAAGGTCCTTTCCAACCCGAACTATTCCATGATTCTATGATTCTGTAGAAACTCTTCCATACACAGCACGATGAAAGTGAGGGTACAGACACTACAGCGCTACCCACAACCCTCACGTGGAACAGCATCACTTGCATTTGGGAATCTGATTCAGAGGAAAAGAGTTCAAAAAGATAACAGGGAATGATTAATCCATGCTGCCCACATGTATTTTCTTTTAGCCTTAGAAAGGACACCTTTTCATGCTCTTTGCTTAGTATCTTGAAGCCCAAGAATTAGACACATAACTGCTGTCGAGGCAGCTGTACAGCTGAATTGACTTCTCCTGGGTCACAGGGGTTACAAAAGCATCAATCTGACCACAGGTTTTTTCCCCAAGCAACCAAAGGATACACCACTATAACTTTTCTTGACTGTTCTCACAAGGATTGCAGCTCCCAGAGTGTTTTGTCTGCATCAAAGCAGTTAATGCTAGCAAGCACAAAGAGCTTACCAATATTGACAGAGTCCTCCCAGTCTTCCAACACTTCTGTGACGATAAGTACGTAAACATATGTCCTGTGTTTCCTGTCCCGATTCTAGAAGGCAAAAGGGAGAAAGAGAAAGGACAAAGCTACCAAGGGAAAAAAGGCAGGAGGGCACGTAGTGACTACAAGGTGCGAGCTGCCTTGGGATGATGCTGTGGTACCTTATTGCAGCTGCTCTCACACTGCAGCTCGTTCTTTGCCATTCAAAACTGTTGTGTTTAAATGAGGTTCTGAAAGTAATTAACAGGGATTGCTGCCAAAAAGTCTAGCTCCTAATGTGTAAGGCAGTATAAGGTGGACGGATACCACACTGCAGGCGTCTATCTGCAACAGGTTGGGCAATGGGTGACAGTGGAAGGACACCGCTCCCAGCTGCTCCATAGCACTGAAACATTCCCTGTTTCACTGGCTTATCACCAGCGGCTGCAACTGAAGTGGAAACTGCAGATGATGGGATCAGCATCCATGTCTATGTAATGGGGAATTTTCAGTTATCCAGCTTACTTCACAGCATGCGAGGAAGTGAGTTGTACTCCAAGACAACTGTTTTTTTTGCATCAATATTTCACAGCCTCAGTGGTCTGAAACTTACCTCAAAAATTCCCACTAATCTTCCTAACGTCCCTTTCACTCCAGCCTATGAAAAGTTCAAAGAGAAAGAAACATGCTTTAACAACATACAGATACATATGTCAGTACACATTTCCTTACTTGTTGTGCAGGAGCAGTTCCCTTAGGGCAGGAAGCAAACGCAGTAAATTCCTGTTAATCCTAAAACAACACGATCCCAAGAAAAAGGACAGAAGTGTAGAACCAACTCCAACCATGCAAGAATTCCCAGGAATTTTCTCTTCTTTTTCTATATTCAAACTATTTTTAATTCAATGTGGAGAAAAAGAAAGTTCTACGATTACTTACTAACTGCACACCAATACACTCTGAATGACCAGAATCAGCCCTGAAGTTTATTATAGCCTAAGCATGGATGCAATTTGCTTTGGGGTTCAGCAGTTCTACGCCTTTAAAATGAAAATACCTTTGAAGCATGTATAAGGCATCCATTTACACCATCAAAGCAACACAACAGCTACAAGGTATTTCAGGGGTGTCCTGCACGCAGTTGAAGCAAGCCAATATAAACACAAAATACTTGCAGTGTTGGAATGTGGCCTCCACAACAGCAGCAAGACTATTTTGGATGTAACACAAAACACAGACGCACACTGAAAGAAGACTTCTGAGCACAGACACAAATCAAGAGAAGATCTAAGCAACAGTTTTGTCTTCTGTTTGCGTATGACCAAAGACCTACCCACTTAACCTCGTTTTCTGTCAGTTGTTATACATCTACTCACCACTGTGGCTCAGTCGCCTTCTCAAAGGGCTGTTTCTCATCTCTGCTCCCTGACGCTGCACCATGCATGTGTGCAAAATGCTCTCCCACTCTTTGCCACCAGACCCCTCCTTTTTCCCCCCACTAATTTACATTCCCCTCTTTTTCCAGCTGTAAATGGTTGGAACTCAATGCTACAGGCAAGGTGAGCTTTTGCTCCAATACTTAACTGGTCTAGACGAACACAGACAGTCTGTCATACAACCCAGCTGTGTCTGGAAGGTAAATTCATCTGCCACAGCTGATGGCAGAACTGCTCCAAGAGAAAAGGACTTGTGGCTTCCCTTTCTACAAGCATTCCTAGAAATCTAGAATCCCTTCTGTAACATGCTCCTTGACCCCTGCTTCTAGGAAAGAGCTTTTCAACTGAATCATTGTGTTGGTTTTGGACACAAAATTTATTGTCTCATCAGTATTTGTGACATCCCGCTCTGCCCATAGGTGCAGCGCTGCCTGTGAACCACCAGGCTATTTCTGGAGTCAAACAGCAATTCCATGAAGGTCAGCGTTCGCACGTATGCGCGCCCCAGAGCGCCCGGGACAGCGCTGGCGCTGACCTTTGTGGGTGAGCAGTTCCATCTCATCCGCACGGCTGCTGCTGCTGCTGCTGCTGCTAACCTGGGCTTATCGCTCTCAGAAGTGAGCTGGAAGGCAAATTCTTCAAATGAATTTCATTCAAAGGACTCCTCAGACAGCGGGGCTTTTTGTTCTTGATGTTTTCAAGCAGCCATCTCAATGAGCCGGAGGAACACACAGCTTCCACCTCCACAAACACATATACACATACATTAAAAGGTGAAACGTGATGAAATGTTAAAGGTTAGTAACTGTCTTAAGCCGATCCTCTTCACTTATTCCTGGGGAAGGCTATTGAATTTCTGCTCTCCTTACTTACCTGTAAAGGCACTGAATCAAAAGGCAGGGATGTTGTGGTGATGGTTTAGTGAATTCTCAAGCCTGACTAGAAACAAATTTATCTCCAGGCAACTAGCCAGCCTTGAAACTGAGCATGGATACTGCACAAACAACCTCCCAAGCTGTTTATTCCCAGCTCTAAAACCGTGCTTGAAGTAACACAGGCAGGTGAGGAGCCCTTCTTTTTGTTCTGGTTAAACAGAGAGGTGATGGAAACAACACTCTCTCTACAAAGTAGGACCCCTCTCTGTTCTGCTAGGTCTTATTCATCCATAAAGGCACAAAAAGCAATGCCAAGACAAACATACACAGCAGGAAAACCACATTACATTGAATTATCACTTGGACAACTCAAACAAGTGCTAAGATTTTCTTCACATATGAATTTATCACATGCAGTAGTAAACGGCGACATAATTTAATGGTTTGATTCAAACAAATATTGGGCTGAATTTATAAAGAGAGTCCTTATCAAAGCCTGCAAAGCACATCAGCTGTTACATCCTGGGGTCCAATGGCTCTCATCCTATTTTACTGGCATAGTGGATTTTAAAGACAACATACACTATATCCAGCACAGACAGACTGGACTGTTACACACCTACTTTTGATAAAGCACTTTGTTCACACACAAATAGGAAAGTCACAGTCTCTGGACAACCACACACGCTGTTCAGAGGAACAAACGAAAATGGAAGTGCCATTGACCTTCTCACACAAGTTATCACCATTAAAGTTACTCAAGACATCCAAGAAAATGATCTACAGCTGCCAGGCTCCTCTTTGGGCCAGCTGCATACCTCTTGCTTTGCTACGGGCCAGCTCTTCAGCATCCTCCTGACTTCACTGCAGGAGAATGAGCATTTTCTTGACAAGTTCAAAGCACAGTCACAGGCTCACCCACGATTAAAGCTGGACCTAAAGCCTAATTTGCACCAGATGACTCAGGAATTTTCTCCTCATTAGTAAACGGATTGAGAATCCTCCACCCTCGTGGGATACAACAGCGTCTGGCAGAGACAGCCCAGTTTATTTGGGCACATGTTCCCCCACCAAGCACAGAGGCCATGCTGCAGTCCTCAGAATACACACATGTCCTAGGAGGATGCTATTAAATGTACCAACCAGCACCAACTGTTCTATCTGCAGGTGTGAGAGTAAAGCAAACCAGTCCATCCACAGCATCCCTCAGGAAGAGGCACATTCAGGTATAAAAAGAGGACAGACAGAGCTTGCAAAATGAGCTCCTCTTCCACAGATCCAAACCAGTTTCCAACATCCAAGATAGACCTCATTGGAGGAAAAGATAGACCTGGCACCCATGGCACAGTAACAGCCAGCTGATCCAAAACAGCACATGGCTTCAAACCACTGCCGCACGCCCAGAGGGGTGGGATGGGTGTTCAGGACAAGCAACAAGAATCTGGAGGAAATGAAGCTTTACTAGTTCTGCTGTTCATGGAACAACTTGTTTTAATAAAGAAAAATGACTGAAGACATCCAAGAACAGCAGGTTCAGGTTTCAAAGCTGAAAATAAGTTTGGGTCAGATGCAAAAAGCAGCCTGCAGCAACACCATCTGTTCCTAGGGACAGCTTTTATTTCCTTCCATCTGAGCTAAGGAAAATGTGGGTTGGAATTTCAGCTATTTTACTTTGCTCTATTCGGCTCAAAGCCTGCATCTACTACAGACTACTGCTGGGCAAGAGGACTGCGGTAAAACACCCAGATCTTTGCTCTAATACCTGCAGTACTGAAGGCAGTAAATCACACCCATGGAGCCTGCTAGCTCAGACAAGTCCTAAAGCCACCAATTACAGACCTGCCAGGCAAATTTTCTTGCTGTCTCTACTGCATTTCAGGGAGGCCTATAATTATTAATCCAATTCTTTACTGCATTACAACCAATATATGCTTTTACATTTGGGAAATAGAAATGAATTACCATAACAGAGCAAAGAACTTTAAGATGCTGCACCCATTTTTATGAAGTTCAAGTACAGGATAACAGCCAGGAGTGAATTCAGACCACTATTAGCTCTGTATTACTAAATCTAGGAGGAGCACACCACCATCATCTCAGTCATTTATCTATGGTCTTTGCAATATTAACAAGAAATACCTTCCTATTTTAGCACTGACAGCCACCAATATTCATATTCTAAATCACTAACAAAATACATGAAATGGAAAAGAGTATTTATAAAGCATGCTTAGGAGGGGTAAAGAAGAGATCTCACAACCAGATCAAAGTACTATCATGACGGGCTACATTTCATATTGGCATCAACTGCCTGTTTGATCACAGAACTTATCTGGCTTTTGATTCCCATGAAGAAAGCATGACTAACACTCCCGTAATTTTATAGAAGTTGACATTTACTAAGTACTTAAAGGTCAGGATGTGAAAGATGCTGTAAGTGCAAAATGAAACGTCTTTGGGTTTAACAGATGAGTGTGGAGGCTTTTTTCAAAGTCACTCTATAATAAGTGCAATTTAAGGCATCTATTTCTAAAACACGTTCTTCACCAGTGGCTCACACCCATAAAAAAACCCTTATTCCTAACATGAAACTGATTTTGGGGGAGAGAATGCAACAGCATTAAAAAATCCAAGAGTGAAGAAGCAAAACATGTGCTACACTGGCAGTAATGCCTGGTTTAGAAGGGCCCACGGTTCTAGAAGGTAACCTTAGAACATACCCGGAGCTTCCAGCTGTGCAAGACTGACCACATCACTTTCAACAACCCGTCAGAAACAAACCTGGCTTTATTCTGCTCTCACTCAGAGCCAGCGTGCTTGTCTACTGCCATTTAGCTTAGAAACAATGCCCAAGAATCCAAGTCACTTCGGATTTTATGCCAACAACAGCAAGACAAGTGTCGGTACCTGTCTACTTTAATACTTCTGCTGTGGAGATTAATATAGATAAGGACTACATCAAACTAGGACAAGGACTTCTGACTCAAAGTGGGACAGAGCGATCACAGGTTCCACTCAGAATCAGTATTTCATTTTCATCTTAAAAAATTTGGAAGAGGGAAACATCAGCTTTCTTTATATGACAATTATTCCAGCAATAACATGGATACACTCAAATACGCACACGGTAACACAGGAACAGTGAATGCACAAGTTGAAAACCTTAGTTTAGGGAAGCATTTTAAAAAGAAAATGCATACCACGCAAAGAAGAATGAATTGAGAAAACCCAGCCTATTGTCATCGTCAAAGACCACAAGCAACTGAAAGGGTAATGAGTCTATACAGCTCGTCCAACTGTCTCTTATTAAAAACTGGAAAAGGCATACCAAAGTCAGTGAAAGAAAGCCCACAGATTCCTTCCACAACTTTGGACCAGCATGCAAAACACCTTCTTTTAGGATAAAAATTCCTTTGTTTTCACTGACACATAGCAAACTGGATTTTCCCTCTGCCAACACAAGCAGCAGTCTCCTCCTGCTCAGCTAACCTCTTGTTCCTGTGCAAGTGACAGATACGCCTGTCCCAGGAGAGAAGCAAAGACATCAAACCTACTGGGGATCAGCCTCGGCTACAGATACCTGAAAAGCCAAATTCACATGAAAGGATAAGCAAGGATTCCCAGCTAGCATGCACACCAGTTACCCAGCAGTCTTCTAAAACACCTCCTTGGCCAAATGAATAGCACAAGCCGAGGAACTGGCTGCACAAGTCCCTTACAGCATTACAGCTGTAATACAACAAACACTCCTGTCCACATGCACATCCCTGAGCTTAAGACAGCTGTCTACACTATAATTTTGTGTGTGGATTGTAAGCAGTGTCCTGGAACACAAAGCTATTTGAGGAAGGCCCTGCACCCCTCCGAGCCAGGCTGTGCTCCCTGCCTCTGCCAGCAGCCTCCCCGTTAAGCTGTACAAGTGCTCAAGTCATGTCCCACACGTGACAGGCTGCCATTCTGCAGCCCACTTTCAGGAAAGCCTTTCCTGTAACAGCATCCCACAGCTCCATTTCACATTCCCACCTGACTAGGTGCCGCTGAGGTTAGCAGCTGGGGCCATCCTGCGCTTTTGGAGCTCTCCCTGTTTACCGCGTGCGGAGCGGCAGGCAGCAGATAGGTGCTTCGCTGGGAATGACTCAACCCTGCCAGGCTGCCACGGTTTGAATTACACTCTCATTCGGCACCGGTCCACGTGAGCCAGGGAACACCAGCTGAGCGAGAGGGGATTATCTCAGCCAGCCCAAACCAGTTTCTCCACTGCAGACTGAGCCCATGCCAAGGCCTCCTTTCAGCCACCGCTGTCATGGAAAGAGAGCGATGCTTCCAAGGGGAGGGGAGGGTTGATACACATTTCTTTGGAGGATTTGAAAGGCAAAGCCATGCATCTCCTGAATGAACCCTTGACTTCTGTACCAAATAGCTTTATTATTAGTAATGATTCGGTGGTAAAGCAGGAGTCTGAAGCTAAAAATGTTCCTACTGTTCTGGTTCAACTCACTTTGGCTTGTAACTTGTTTGTAAGATTGCCAAGCTACTGAAAAAGCAGGAGCCGTGTTATAGGCTGGAAACAAAACTTGCAAGCAGCAATCTCCAATACTAAGAGGGACCTAAAGACACTTAAAATAAAACCCCAAAGCAACTTCTGACTCTGTAATCTTTCATATCTTTCTGAGAAACTGCTGCATTATAAAAACATCCAAAGAGAAACACGCAACTCAGGAACTGCCACATTAGATTAGTCCAAAGGCCCAAGCATTTTGTTAGGCAGCAGGAGGTACTTGCAAATACTTCAGAGAAAACCCTTCATATACCAGACAGTTGAATAAAGCCACCATTGCAGAAGCTTTCTCCCATCAATTAGCTCTTGACTTCTGTTCTGCAGCACAAAGATTTATAACCCTCTTGAAAGCATTTTTAATCCTACCTTATATAATTGTGAACCTACTTGGTCGTCCAGATATAATCTTTTCATAGTTTCTGAATTCAAGCATGTCTCCAATTTGCTAATATTCAGAAGAGACATCTAAAGACATGTTTTACACACAAGGCACTCAGCTGCCATTTGCTGCCTTCAAATTCCCTATGAAGAATAAGATTGTTCTTCCAGCTTTAAGAGAAAAATACCCCTTCCCCATACAGACAATTGATCTGTGTTTATCTCCTTTCTGAAATGGCTTCAGGTAAAAAAATACCCCAAACCATGAAGACATTAGGAATTTTGGCTACCTTCTACCTAAGTATTACAGAGCCCCACAAAAGCACAGCTGTGTTTTAAAGTCCTCTTAAGAAACCATTCTTCATAGAGAGAAAACAAAACTGAGAACCTCCCATCCACACACTCACCTCTTCACAGACCTCCCGCACCGCAGCCACGTTGGGCTCCTCCTCGGGCTCCATGCCACCCCCAGGGACGATCCATCGGTCAGGATGACGACTACTGCTCACCAGCAGCACCTGCGGGGAGCAGAGCACAGCAACGTGAGAACTCCAGCACCCGCCTGGGGAGGAGGAGTTGCTTTTCCTTCCCTCACATCTCCAAACAGCACCAAGTCCTTGAGAACACTCTGCTCTTCCCAAGGCAACCTCCTGAGCCCCTCTCAGGCAGCTGTGCAAACCTCATTATCAGTGACACCTCGGCACTCCAACACTCTCAATTATTTCTGCCATTACCTCCCCACCGCTCCAACGTGTCGCAGAATAAATTATGCCTCCGCATACCAGAACGATTTGCTGTTTAATACAGCATCACAGCACTTACAGTGGAAGGGTTTGCTACTCAAAGTCACTGCTCAAGTCTTGACAGCCTGGGATACACACCATGCAACGGCACAAGATGGTACAGAAGCTGCTCAGCACCTTCTCCCTTCGCAGAGGTACCTTCATTTGATTTCATTGGTACCTTTGGCCTTGACTGCCTCTGCAGTTACGCTCGTGACACACACAAGCCAGGTAACTGCCCACTGAAACATTTATGTGCAGTTTGTTTTATTGTTTTAACAGAGATCTTCAACTTCCCTGTTTGCCTCTTCTTCTGCAGCAGGCACCAGGGTTCAGCTCTGTAGTTTTGTTTTAGATGGGGCTGTTCAGTGAGATAAAAACAAAATACAACCCTACATGAAACCACTGCATAGGAGGAAAGACTTCTTTGAATCAGCTTCAACAGCTCTTCATAAGCTTGCTTTGTGGCAGTTGTCCTTGAAACACATTTCATTCCAGTGTAATTCTGCTCTGTACAAGCTCACTTTTTGTTCTGTCGTCTTCTAGGAACAAAAACCCCAGCAATCTCAACCAGCTACAAGTTTTCCCCAAAGAACATCGAGGCACTGTGCTTATTAAATCTACTTGAAACACATCCACGAGTAGAGATGGAAACTAAAAACAAATACCAGTTTTCAGCTCTCTGAACAAAGCTGGTTCATTAGAGTCATCATGCTATACTTCATAATTTCACTGGCACAAAGCTTAGAGGCAAAGCGACTTGCTTCAGAAACTTTCCAACATACCAGTCCAATTAGGTTACAGGCCAGCTGTAACAGCTTCAGACATTTCCAAGTTAGACTGTGCAAGATACTCAAATCCCAGGCTTTGCTGCGTCTATGTTGATCTACCAGTAGGATAGGAACAGATTTGCACTCATTACCACGAGGAAACCTACTAAAGAGCTCAAAATCAAACTTGTGATTTGAAACCAAGCACAGGATTTCCAGGGTTTCCCAGTTCTTTTATCTTTCGAAGTCTCAGCTGCCACCTGACCACCACCAATGTGATCTTCCTTCTCCAGGCCACCCAGACCAGGCTCAGCGCAGGGGAAAGAGGACCACAGACTATAACACACAAGGGTGAGGAAGCAAGGGGCACTGACCAATGGCTCCCAAACCAGGACTAGCAAAGCTGAAGGCAGAAACTGAAGAGGGTTCACAACAAACATTTTGGCAACTGCTGGTCTAACCTTTCCTAAGCCTGGAACTGAACTCAGTGTTCTCGAGTGTCAGCACTCCTCTCATCAGCAATTTTCTATGAATCTCATCAACAATAATGTCTCAAAGCCTCCTCTTCCTGCTTCAGTCAGACCCTGCACCTGAACCTGCAATGCGTAAAGAAGCATCATTTACCAAACACCACCTTTTCAATCCCTGAGCACTCCCCAGCCTATTGAACCGAGGCAAATGCACACTAGAAATGAGTTAAGCTGAATGAGCCATCTTAACTCTGCAGTTTCCTAATGGAGATGCTCACTACCTGGTGTACGCTCTGGCTTAGGTTGCAATGGAGAAGCATTTACTTTATAGTAACATCCCATAGTATTTAGCCTTCCAAAGACAGAATTCCTTTCCCCCAACCATCCAATCCACATGAAACATGATCAACAGCCATGCCTGAAGAGGGAATGGAAACTATGCATCCTCAGAGCCCTCACGGCTCAACCAGCAGCCGGGTGCCATGGGCTGGACTTCCTTTGTCCTGACCCATTACCAGAAGAGCTTCCACTGGGATTCCTCACTTCAGCAGGTGACCCTGAGGACAAAGTTAAAAGAATAGCAACTGACATTTCTCGTATGTTTTACTGTTGGATAAAGAAGCATCATCTTTGTCATTTCCGATTTCAGAGTTCCAGCTTGAATTAAAAGAACCAAGAGAAAAAGATGTGGAGAAACTGCAGAAAAAGACCACAGCACAATTCATAACCACTGAACTCCTGCCACCTTCCACTTGTGAGAAAAAGCATCTGCTAAGAAAATCCCTGCACAAAGACTTGTACAGGAAAGCCTGCTGGACTGCTCGGCCTGAGACAATGCTTTAGCAACACACCAGTAGGAACTCTGAGGTGTAAACAACAGTTTTAGGCAAAGTAAATTAACTTCAGCTGCTCTGGCAGTTGAGCATTTTCTGAATAGAATTAACATGAACAACCCCCAGTGGGAAGGAAAAACCTGTCATTCTCACACTTCTATGTAATCAGACTATTTCCTGTTTAATAAAAAGGAAATCCCATCAAGAGAGAGCAGGAAACATGCCCTACGAGGTCATTCTTTTAAAACAACTTTAAACAGGATATTGCTACCAATGAGCTCTCCCAAGACAAAGGGGCCTAGTTCCCAGGGTCTTCCTTTCAGTGCTCTTTAAAAAGGGGTGCACAGCGTTCCCCTTTTTCCAGTCACTGGGACTTCACCTGACTGCCATCACTTCAGGTATCATGGAGAGTGGATGGCAACGACATCAGCCAATTCCCTAAGGACTCTGGGATGCATCTCATCGGGTCCCATAGACTCACGTATGTTCACGTTCCTCAGGTGGTCACAAACCTGCCCCCCTCACAAGGCAGCATCATTCAAACGTCTTACAAACTGCCCCCAAGGCAGTAAAATGAGATGTGCTGATAAACCAGCTCTCTCAGAAAGCCATTAGTATTTGGGGAACAGCCTAAATGCTGTCCCCAAGGGAAGAGTTGCATTCCCCTGCACAAACCTTTCCCCCCCAGCAGCTGAATGGGCAACCATAAAATACCTGGGGGAAGGAAAGATATCAGCTAAGCAGGTATAGAAGAGATGTTATAGCTTGTGTTGCTGCCACAGCCAAGCCAGAATTATCTGCTAAGTTCAGAACACAGGATATAGCATCAGGGTAACTTACACCAAAAAGACATAAAGCAGAGAATGGCAATTCTACATTCATTTTACAACATTATATGACAAAATCCCATGTATTCAATTGCTCAGTTAGACTGAAAATTTCCAATCCTCACAAACTTTACAAAATAAAGAGTACACTGTTTTCTAAAGGACCACCTTGTATGGCCTTGATATCTTCATTTTTGCTCATTAACTTCTTTATTACATTAAATTCCTGATTTGGATACAGGCTAAAGAAGAGATTTTAATCAAAACAGTCATAAAAAATACATCAAAAATGACACAACTTATTATTTTGCATCAGACCAAACACAAACCATTTTATTCTCTCGGCCTACGAGGGGTTTGGGGCAGATTTCGGAGCCAAGTCTTGCAGTCTTCTTGGAAAAGCATTTGCAGGTATCATGTCACCCAGCCAAGCTCTGTTTTCCAGGCTTTGAAAGCCAATGATGTCATTTCAAAGCAGGGAAATGAGCAACAGGAGCCTCTGTGGCAATGCACAAGGCAGCCCCGAAGCAGCTCTCACACAGGATCAAACAAGTAAGAGAAAGGTAAGAAAAACAAGCAAAGTTTGAAGCCTGCAGCAGGGGCTCCTAAACAGGGCTGGATCGTGGCCTCATGGTAAGCAACCTTCAAAGCAGCGCGCACACCCAACTCCAAACAGCTCCAGAGCTGCCCACCAACATCTCCCTAGGGGAGACAGGAAACATGCTGAGAGACCCAAGGCTGCCTGGGCCTCCACACGCAAACCTCGGCGCTCCATGGGAAAAGGGAATAGTGTTAGTCACTGGGTAAATCTGGGAGTCCCTGACACACAATGCTGTGAGCGACCTAATTCCTCACAACCCTTTGTATGCACATCAGTTGGTTTGGGTTATTTTTTTTTTCCCCCTCTTTCTTTTTCTCACCCAGAAATAATGGTGCTCTGCAAAGCAGAAACCAGGCAACCAGAATGAGGCGGAGACTTCATTCCCAGTTAACAGAACAGGGACTGAGGGATTCCCAGGTTCTTTCATGCTATGGTGGATTTAAACCACCACCACCACCCATAAATAAAACAGGAGTAGCTACGCTGTAAGGAACACGATTCCTAGAAAGAGGCTCCACAGCAAAGACAAAAGGGCTCCAGCATTATTAGATGGGCCACAAACGTTATTAGCAAATGAGCTGTGAATCTTCCAGGCTCCCAGGCAGAGCCAGTCCTACCCACACGTGCCAGCCTAAGGACAACCAAGCTGGCAGAGTCAGTAAGAAACAGAAGACAAGATGTTAAATGCATGGGGTTTGGGCCAGCCAGCATCCTGCTGCCAGAAGCCGATCTATAGCTACTGGCTACTGAAACAGCCTCTGCGCTTTCTTTCGTGCTTTCCATCAATATTAAGCCACAAAATGTATTTTGCATAGCGACTAAAGCACATTTCAACTCATTTCACACTCAGCATTATTTATCAGAACAGAAACTACAAGAAAATAAGGTCTCACAATACACCATAGTGAAACTGGGGGAGAAGATGGCTGACTCCAATGATTTTGGCCTGTACAATCTGTCTTTGTTTGAAAGTTTCAATTTAATAAGAGTCTCTGTATGCAGGAGTTTGGAACTGAGCAGAGCTGGAGACTCTGCAATTCACCCTATGACCAGGCAGGATATTGTAGCTGGTGCAGCTCTGTGTCCAGCATAATAAAGACCTTTCATGCTTTACTCTAAGTTAACAATCTCTAAGTTCTCACAATCCAAATACACCCTTACTGCTCTTAAGGCTGTTATATCTGACAAAACTGGGATCTCAATTTGACCACAACAAACCACTTTTTAACATTAAG